CTCACTTGCATCACTGCCACTTGATGTTGCCAGAGAAATTAAGTAAGAAACAGAAATAAAGGGCATCCTGATTCGAAAGGAGGAAGCAAAACTATCTCTATACATAGATGATATGAAAATTCCAAAGAATCCATAGGAAAGCTACTGGAGCTAATAAACAAATTTAGCAAAGTTGCAGGGTACAGGATCAACACATAAAAATCCAAGTGTTCCTATATACCAGCAATGTACAATCTAAAAAGGAAATTAAGGAAGCTATATTTACAATAGGATCTAAAAGGATACAGTAACTATAATAATACACTGAGGCATGGGTTAAAGCCTCTGCCTTCAGCTCAGTCATGATCTCAGGGTCCTGGGATCAAGCCCCGCATCGGGCTCTCTGCTCGGCAGGGAGCCTGCTTCCCTTCCTCTCTCTCTGCCTGCCTCTCTGCCTACTTGTGATCTCTGTCTGTCAAATGAATAAAACAATTAAAAAATCTTTAAAAAAATACACTGAGGCAAAGAGGTGAAACACTGTGCACTGAAAACTAGAAAACATCATTGAAGGAAATTAAAAATATCTAAATAAGTAGAAAGTCATTCCATATTAGTGGACAGGAAGACTTAACGTTGTTAAAATGTCAATGCTACCCAAAACTACAGATTCAACACAATCCCCTTCAAAATTCCAACATCCCTCTTATGCAGAAATGAAAAAGCTGATCCTCAAATTCATATGAAACTACAAAGGACCCCAAACAGCTGAAACAAACCTGAAAAAGAACAAAGTTGGAGCACTCACACTTTCTGATTTTAAAACTTACTACAAAGCTGTAGTAATCAAAACAGTGTGATAGTGGCATATACACTAGTAGATAGACATATACACCAATGGAATAGACTTGAAAGTCCAGAAATAGGCCTATATAACTATGGTTAATTGATTTCTTTACAAGGGTGTCAATTCCACTCAATTGGTATTGAATCTTCAAAAGATGGTGCTGAGACGACTGGGTATCCTCATACAAAAGAATGAAGGTATACCACTAAACTCACACCATATACAAAAGATTAACTCAAAATGAATCAACAGCATAAATATAAGAGCGAAAAACCATAAAATTCTTAGAAGACAACATAAGGATGAATCTCAATGACCTTTGATAATGACCTTGAATTTGTGACACCAATAGCTTAAGTAACAAAATAAAAAATAAATTGGGGGCACCTGGGTGACTCAGTCGGTTAAGTGTCTGACTCTTGAATCTGGCATAGGCCATGATCTCAGGGTTGTGAGATCAACTCCTGAGTCAGGCTCTGTGCTGAATGTGAAGTCAGATTAAGACTCTCTCTCTCTCTCCCTCTGTCCTTCCCCCTCCCTCTCTAAAAAAATTAAAATAAATTTTAAAAAAGATAAACTGGACTTCAAAATTTAAAATGTTTGTACATCAAAAGGTATTCATTACAAGGAGAGTGAAAAACCAACCCAAGAATGGGAGAAAATACTTGCAAATCACTTATTTGATAAAGTTTAATATCCAGAATACATAAAGAATTTAATAACAAAAAAACCCAATTAAAAAATGGACAAAGGACTTGAGCAGATATTTCTCTAAACAAGATATTCAAATGGCCAATAAGCACATGAAAAGATGCTCAACTCATTAGTCTTTAGAGGAATGCAAATCAAAAGACACCATTTCAAACCTACTAGGATTGCTATCATGAAAAAAAAAAAAAGAAAAAGAATGGTTCAAATGTGGAAAAATGGACCCTCATATGCTGCTGGATTGACTGTAAAGCAGTGTAGCCATTATGGAGAATAGTTCGGCAGTTTCTCAAAAGTTAAAGATAGAATTACCGTATCACCCAGCAGTTTCACTCCTAGGTATATACCCAAAGATTTGAAAACAGGGACTCAAACAGATACTTTTATGCCAGTGTTCATTGCTCATTAATCATAATGGCTAAAAAGGTGGAAACAACCCAAGAGTCCCTGAGCAGATGAAAGGACAAAATGTGTCTTGTCATACAATGAGATATTGTTCACCTATCAAAAAGAATGATGTACTGGTAAGTGTTACAACATGGATAAACCTTGAAAACATTATGCTAAGTGAAATTATCCAGACACAAAAGGACAAGAGTAATTAAATGAAATCACTAGAATAGGCAAATTCATAGGGGTAGAAAGTAGATTAGAAGTTAACAGGGTGGGGGCACCTGGGTGGCTCAGTGGGTTAAGCTGCTGCCTTCGGCTCAGGTCATGGTCTCAGGGTCCTGGGATAGGGCCCCGCATCGGGCTCCTTGCTCAGTGGAGAGCCTGCTTCTCTCTCTGCCTCTGCCTGCCTCTCTGCCTGCTTGTGCTCTCCGTCTGTTAAGTAAATAAATAAATACAATCTTTAAAAAAAAAAAAAAGAAGTTAACAGGGTGCATGGAGCACTGGGTGTAGCGCATAAACAATGAATTTTCGAACACTGAAAAGAAATTAAAAAATAAATAATTTTTAAAAAGATAAAAAAATTAAAAATAAAGAAGAAGTTAACAGGGGCCAGGGCAAGGGGGAATGGAGAGTTATTGTTTAATGGGCAAAGTTTCTGCTCAGGTGATGGAAAACTTTTGGAAATAGGTAGTGGTGATGGTTTTACAACATTATGAATGCAATTAATGTCATGGGACTGTACACTTAAAAATGGTTAAAATGAAAACTACTGTGTTTTAACTACTGTGTTTTAAATACACTACTGCTTATTTAACTACAATTTTTAGTGTAGTAGTAACTATAATCTGAAATTACTTCCCCCCCAAAAAAAGAACTGTTTTAGATTCTTCTGCTATCTGAAAATTAAGTGTCAGTGAAAAAACACATTTTTGTGGAAAAAGAAAGTCAAAAGAGGAGATAGGAAATGGAGCAACAGAAGCAAGAGGTTGGAGTGATGTGAGGAAAGGAAGTCAAGGGCCAAGGAATGAAGGCTCCCTCAACAAGCTGGAAAAGGTAATGAACAGATTTTCTCCTAGAGCCTCAAAAGAAACCAGCCATGGTAACACCCTGATTTTTGCCCATCTAAATTAATTTCATCTGGCCTCCAGAACTGGAAGAGTAAAAAAAAAAAAAAAAAAAAAAAATTGGAAGAGTAAACTTGTGTCGTTTTAAGCTAGTCGGTTGGTTTATGGTAATTTATTACAGCAGCAATAAGAAACTAGCACAATCCGGGGCGCCTGGGTGGCTCAGTGGGTTAAAGCCTCTGCCTTTGGCTCAGGTCATGATCCCAGGGTCCTGGGATGGAGCCCCACATCCGGCTCTCTGCTCAGCAGGGAGCCTGCTTTCTCCTCTCTCTCTTCCTGCCTCTCTGCCTACTTGTGATCTCTCTCTGTCAAATAAATAAATAAAATCTTTAAAGAGAAAGAAAAAAAGAAACTAGCACAATCCCTGCATAGCTCACATATCCTAAAATGCAGGATTTTAGAGGTGGGCAGGCACTTGTCCCCTCTGGGGATTTGAAGCCCTAGTGTTACCCGCTTTCCACCCTGTTTGGCACTCCTGTCACTAGCACTGAGGCCCGAGGGAATCCTATTTGCAGACAGGTTAGTGGACATCTTTGGGGTCATTATATTCTGCCTACCACTGTACAAGAATATACTTTTTAAAAATTTTGAACACTGCGTATATGGCTACTTGCAAAGTCAGGATGAGGGCGTTTTTATTCTTTGATAGATGTCAACAATGATTCTCGAAAGACGTGTTTCCAACTTGCCCTCCCCTGGCAGTGCTATGAGAGCCTTGGGATGATGATGATGATAAGGATAACAGCTGTCTTGTTTATTTAGTAGTGTTATCCTTACAAATAGAAGTTACTTTACCAGCAAAAATGGGCTTATTTGGGAATAGGAGAGAATTACAATTCTGGACATGCAAGATACAGCAAAGCTGTAGGCAAATGTAACAAAGGAGAAGAACGTTATTGTACGGAGAGGACGAAGGGGGTTAGGAGGGGCTGTTCTGAAGGAAAGTCCAGCGGAGAAGAGTTCAGGGTGACGATGGGCTCTCGCCGGCTGAGGCGCAGGGCCCACTCACTGCTGTAGGAGATGCAGTGCGCGTCTTTTCCGTCGGGGCCTGTAGCTGAGGATTCTCGGCTGCTGAAGCTTCTTATGTCGGTAATTCTTGACTCGCAGCCGTACCAAGCGAGAGCTCGCCCTTTCACACTTTAGTGGGGCTCCCTTTCCTGGGTTTCACAGCACTATGTGCCTGGCGTGTGCTAAATACTTCTCCGGTCACTTCTCGCGAGGAAAGGTGCAGCAGTGACCAAATCTCGTCACCGGATTTCGAGTTAGAGCTGTTTCTGGGAGCGCGTCCAAATCCCCGAGGGACTGTGCAGGCACGGAATGTTCAGGCTCGTCCCAGAAGATTCTGACCGGGGAAATGCAGAAGTGAAGCTGCGCCCCAGGGGCCCCTTCCGGGCTGGTCCTCCCTCCAGAGCGCGGGCCCTGCATCTCTGCGGGAGGAACCCGAGGTAGCCCCGTCAGAGCAAGCGTAAGCACAGCACTGCCACTCAGCACCGCGGGCTCCCCTTCCCAGCAGCCCTTGCGGGGCCACTCGGGCATAGCCAAGCGGAACGCGCGGGCGCCCTACGCGAGGCCTGCGCGCGGCAGAAACTACAACGACCAGAAGGCCACGGGGACGGCGGCGACCCGCCACCAATCCCAGCCCCGAAGAGGGGCTATATCCTGCGGGTCGCCGGGCTTCCGGCGTCTCCCTCGAGCACATTCGTCTTGCCCTTTCCCCGCCCTCGGGGAGTTGACCTCCCGCAGGCGCCTCCTTGGGACCCAGCCGTGGGGTGCGGGGTGGGGGGGGGGGCGGGGGGGGGGGGGGGGGGGGGGGGGGGGGGGGGTGCGGGAAGGCTGGGATGAGCTGCCCCGCTCCGTCCCAGCCGTGATCTCCGGTAACGGGGCTATCCTCTTCCCTCCGCACTCGCCCGCCGTCCCCTCTGAGGCCCCGATTGCGACGGGCAGCGGGCGGGCACCCTGCCCGGAGGAGGTGTGGGCATCGGCTGCGCACTCAGGGCCTGCCCGGGTCCCATGGCGGCGGCGGCGCTGGTGGACCTGGCGCGGGTGAGTGGGGTCCACGGTAGAAGGGAGTGGGGAGTCCCTGGACCCTTCCTCCACCTTCACTTTTGCTTCGCTGCTGCGACCCTCGGATCACCCCAAGCCTGAGGTCCTGAGTCCCGACCGGAGTTTCTGTGGGAATTTTCACGATTCTGGAATCCAGTGGGACAAGATGTGGAAAGCTGTTTCAGGCACAGGGACCAGGATGTGCAAATGCTCAGAGATGAGACTGAGCTGGGAGTATTCGGGGAACCACAGGCCTCCGTTATTTATATCTGGTGGGCCGGACGGAGTCAGGCCTGGACATGGCAGCCTGGGGAGCTTGGCCTGAAGATGGTTGGAGCCACGGAAGGTTTGGAGTAGAGATGTTCACAGGCTCCCTTTGGCTGCAGAGTGGAAAAGAGAGGTAGGGTGGGGTAGGAGGTGAAGTTGAGGGGGCAGAAAGGGAGGCTCATAAGGATGCTCTTTTACTAGATTAGGTGGGTGATGGTGTCAATCCAGGTCCAACCTAGAGTTGGGAGATTTTGGATCTTTCAAGTCAGCCAGATTTTGTGATGTGCAGAGAAGTGGAGGAGCCTGGGCTAGCTTGGCAGGTCTAAGTTAGTTACGCTGAGGAATTCAGCTTGGAGACATCCAGTCAGCAGCAGTCAGCCTGTGAGCTGCAGTAGAGCTCTGGCTCACATTTGAGAGGGGGCATCTTTAGCTTATGGTGAAGATGTTCTACAAGGGCATCTGAGGACTGGGTGGCTGGCTTGGGTACTGGGCGGGGTCGGTGGGTGTCACAAAGTCAGATGAAGGGAGGAGGAGCCACAAGAGAAGGTGTGTGTGAGAGGGGGTCCAGAAAGTGACCAAGATCCCTGGGACAGAGGCTAAGGCATATTGGAGACGCAAGTAACATGACAGTGGAACTGGGACTCGTGTTTAGTCAACTCTCTGTGGGCTCACAGGCATTTCTTGGCCACCCTCTGTGGGGTCTGAGTGTTTCAGTCAGGATGACAGGTTAGTTCAGTGGCAGTAGGCTGAGTGTCCTAGGCTTGGCGGGGGGGTTGCATCAGAAGGAAAGAGGAATACTGAGGCTGGTGAGGGGACAGCATGAATAAAGGCAGAGAGACTTGGAGGTCCCAGAAGTCTTTGTGGCCTAGTCTGGATGGCTAAGTGATAAAGGTAGGAATAGGACCAGTTAGAGAAACTGAAGGAAAGCTGGGTGCCACCTCTGGAAGTGGGTACTTTTAGAAGTCTGGGTCAGGATGGGATCCTGGTTGACCTCACCAAGTTAGCCACATTTTGGACACCATTTGCAGAGTGATCTGTAGGGTTGCTGGGAGGAAGAATGGGCCATGGGATAGTGGTGGGGTCTGGAGATGTGTGGTACAAAGACGGACGTGCACATGCAGGGGCATATGAATTGATGGACTGGAGTCCTGGTACTGGGGGCGTACGCGAGATGAGCCCCAGTTTCGTTGTTCTGGGAGGCAGGATCTGGGGAGCCAGGAGAATCGTCTGGTAGGAGGCAGTGAGGCCCCACGACCAGGCCCAGACCTTGTGGCAACTATCTGCCCACCTCCCTGCTGTGTGAAGGAGGACACAGTGATCAGTGGGACATGAGGAGACAATACTCCCCATGGCTTTGGAGCTCAGGTAGAAGGGTGACCTAGGAGTTTCTTGGCAGGGTTGATTTGGGAGTCAGAGACTACCCACGAGAAGATGGCAGCATGTAGGGTCACAGGCTCAGGTCTGGATGGGTTCATCTGTGTTTTTTTTTGTAGTTTTCTTGCTGCCCTGTCCTCACCATGGCTGACTTAGCTGTCTTCACCATGACAGGACTGGGGGACCTTTGAGGACATGGCCATGTACTTCTTCCAGGAGGAGTGGGAGCTCCTTGATGAGACTCAGAGGTGTCTGTACCACAATGTGATGCTGGAGACCTTGGTGCTTGTGGCCTCAATGGATAAGGCCCTCTCACCCCAGCTTGCTGTTCTGGTCTCTGTCCTTCCTCTTCTCCTGGAAACAGCTCTGTGTTCTGACAGCTGAGCAGATAGCCTCTGGGCTATCTGCTGTGTGTGCAGAGCTGGGGCACAGGCACAGGCACAGCCTGCTCCTTCCCCTGAGGAGCCCCAATATCTGCTTCCCTTCCTGCAGAAGGGCTCAGGACCGAGGGGCTCCGTCTGGTTGCCTGAGTTTGTCTAGATCAGTGGGACCTCTGTGCCTAGGTTCTTCCCCCCGCACTTTTTTTTTTTTTTAAAGATTTTATTTATTTATTTGACAGAGAGAGATCACAAGTAGATGGAGAGGCAGGCAGAGGGGGTGGGGGAAGCAGGCTCCCTGCTGAGCAGAGAGCCCGATGCGGGACTCGATCCCAGGATCCTGAGATCATGACCTGAGCTGAAGGCAGCGGCTCAACCCACTGAGCCACCCAGGCGCCCCCCCGGCACTTTTTTATATCAGACATTTCCAGGAGCCGGGCTACGTCATGGACTGTAGACATGGACATCGTCACTACCTGCCGCTGGGCTCTTCCTAGGAGATGCTCCTCACAGGCTTATTTTGTAACACTGGGTTTTCTCCCTAGTTGCGGAGATGACGTGAGCTCCCTCTCGTCTATCACAGGGTAGGTGGCCCTTGGCTGGGCCAGACACTCACCCGCTCTGTCTTTTTCCCAGGACTTAGAACTTTCAGGTCCTGCATGGTTGCTCACCTGGAACAGGACAGAGAAGGCTGGGAGCCTGACAGGGTGCACATAGCTACATATACCACAGAAGAGGCTGGGAGGGGGTCTGGCTCTGATGAGTGGGAGCTGGAGCAGACATGACACTGGGGCTGGGTTCACACTGTACTACTTGCCCTGTATCCACTGGCCTTTGCTGCTGGGGCCAGTACCCGTACCTTACTCCATTTTCCTTCCTTGTTTTAGACAACGCATTCTCTCCATTTCTACTTTGTCTGTGTACAGTGCTCTGATCTGTGTCTTCCTTATTCCCCTCCACTCCTCCTTTTACAGGGATGTCCCACCTTAGCCCATGGTCAGTGTATTATGAGATGTGCATATATCCTCATAGAGGCTTTAAGCACCAGATGCCTGGTTGCAGCTGGATTTTCCTGCTCTCAAGGAGACTCTGTGACCCCTGTTCCTGTCCGAGATCTGGGGCCTGCCTGTATTGGGTCCTGCTGAGAGCTGAGAGGTTGCAGTTCCTGCCTCTCCTCCCAGCCAGAACCCTCACGTGTGTTCTCACGTCCTGGATCTTCACCTTCAGTGCCTTTCCTGGGCCCTGTCCTGCACCACAAGCTCTACCTCCCCCTGACTTGATCCTGCAGACTCATTTCTAAATTTGTCAGATCCACATCTGGGAGGGGGCTGCCCCCTCCCAACAAAGCCCATATACACTTCGCCAGTATTTCTCTGCTTTCAGGTTGCTGGTGCGGAATGGAGGAAGCCCCTCTTGAACGGGGTGTTTTTGTAGAAGGAGCATACCATTTCAGGACCCCTAAGGCATATCCTTCTACCCTGAAGGCCAACACCTGTGACATGTGTGGCTTGGTCTCAAAAGACATTACACCTGGCTAAGCGTCAGGGAAATCACCCTACGCAGAAACCATACAAGTGTGAGGCATTTGGGAGAGGCTTCTGGCTCAGAATAAGTTCTCACCAGTGCCAGCAGGAGCCCAGTAGAGAAAAATGCTTCACAGGTAGCAAACATGCTAAGGATGTCCTGGACAGCCTCGACCTCCTGCAGCACCGGGCCACCCACAACATGGGGATACCACACAGGCACCAGGCACAAGGAGGCCTTCCAGCTGCCAGCAGCAGCAGAGAGGCCACACCGCACAGAAGTCCTTCAAGTGCAGCAGCTGTGGGAGCAGCTTTCTGAAGGCTCTCGTGCTCCTAGATCATCTGCTCACTCATTCCAAAGAGACCCTGCAGATGCCCAGCACGGGGAAATGCCCCTGAAGAGCAGGCCACCATTGTTCATCACCCGAAAACCCCACTGGGGAGACATCCCGTGTGTGTAAGGAATGTGGGAAGGCTTTCAGTCACCTTTTCAAACTGAGGACACATGAGAAAGTTCCTACTGGAAAAGTGTATCACGGTTGCAGTGAGTGTGAGAAAGCCTTCACCCAGAAGTACACACTCGCTTGGCACCGGAGAGTCCACTGAAGAATGGCCTTATGCCTGTGGCCACTGTGGGAAGACACTTCACTTGCAGCTTCAGTGTCGCTCGCCATCAGGAAGTTACGACAAAGAAAGGCCTTGTAAGTGCAGACCGTGCCAGAGAGTCTCCAGCTGCATCGCCAGTTTTGTGGAGCACCAGAAAATACACACTGGGGCAAGGCCTTGTACGTGCAGTAAATGCGGGAAAGCCTTCATTAACAGTTCTCATCTTCACTGGCATCAGAAAGTTCACAGCAGGGGCATCTGGGTGGCTCAGTGGGTTAAAGCCTCTGCCTTCAGCTCGGGTCGTGATCTCAGGGTCCTGGGATCGAGCCCCGCATCGGGCTCTCTGCTCAGCGGGGATCCTGCTTCCTCCTCTCTCTCTCTGCCTGCCTCTCTGCCTACTTGTGATCTCTGTCAAACAGTGTGGGAAAGCCTTCAGCTGGCCCTCTAATTTTGTTGCACACCAGCGAATCCATAATGGAGAAAAGCCTTATGAGTATAACAAGTGTGGAAAAGCCTTTAATCAAAGCTTTGCCCTCATTCAGCACCAGAAGGTTCATACCAGAGATAGGCCTTATGAGTGCAGTGAGTGTGAAAAAGCCTTCAGCTATAGCTCCAACCTTGTTACACACCAGATAGTTCACACTGGAAAGAGGCTTTACAAGTGCAGCCAGTGTGGGAGAGCCTTCAGTACAAGATCCAACCTCAGTCGGCACCAGAGAGTTCACACTGAAGAAAAATCTTATGCGTGTACTGAGTGTGGAAAAGCTTTCCGCTACAGGTCAGACCTCTCTCAGCACCAGAAAGGTCACCTGAAAAGAGCCATCTGAGTGCAGTGGACATAGGAATACCTTCAGCCAGAGCCCCAGCACCACCTCACTCAGCACCACAAGGTTTATACCAAAGAAAAGTCTAAGGAGTGTGGCAAATGTGGAAAACCACTAACTAACTGGGGCATTTTCTTTGTTCACCTTAAGAGCCCACACTGGGCTCTCTGCTCAGCGGGAAACCTGCTTCCCCCTCTCTCTCTGCCTGCCTCTCTGCCTACTTGTGATCTCGATCTGTCAAATAAATAAAATCTTTTTTTTAAAAAAGTTCACTCCTGAGAAAACTTATGTGAAAGGAACCTTTGTGAAGAAGGCATAAGCCAAATATTGAAAAATATCCTAACACCCCTCCCAGGAGATCGCCAGATACCTGGGAAGCTTTCAGGAACTATATCACACTTTCTAATCTGTCCAGGTGCTTTGCCAGATTATGTCATTGCCAGATGGCATCTCACTTCTACAGGCTGGCGGGGCCCCCCACAGCCTGTCATCTCAGCATATTCAGGGAAGGCTGATTTTGTCCTCACTCATTCCCAGGAGGGAGACATGAGTGATGGGAGCTCTTTGGGGTGCCTCATTTTCCATCTCTGCCCTGTCCCCAGTGGTTCAAGCATGGACCTGACTGATCTCTTCTCTCCAGGACTTTCCAGAAATAGCTTCCCTCTTTTGTGGGTAATTTTTTTAAAAAAGATTTATTTATTTGAAAGAGAGCAACCACGAATGGGGGGGTAGCAGGGAGAGGGAAAGGAAGAATCGGGGCTTGATCCCAGGACCCTGGGATCATGACCTGAGCTGAAGACAGATGCTTAAATGACTGAGCCCCCCAGGCACCCTTTTGGTATTGTCTACAGATGGTGCCTGCGATGGATCTGTCCAGTCTCCAAATCACCCAACCCTGGAACTGCCTGCCTCACTGTTGAAGCTGTCTTTAATTTCTATCCATTGTGTATGTGGTTGGGGGTGGGTGAGATGGAGAACAGAATGGGGCTCTAACAGGATAAAGAGGGGAAAAGGTCTTAGTGGGAGACCTCACCTTCAACAGCAGGATGGCACAGAACACCTTGCAGTCTAGGCCCAGGGCCTCCTGGGACAGGCTGAAAGTCTCTGTGTTAAATCTTGGTCCTGGATGCCAGGACAGCCTGACAGGCCCAGAGCTTTGGACACTGGGTATTCCGTATGGCAATCTCTAGTTCTTCCTGGGCAGCAGGGGTTGGGTTCTTTGTTCCTGGGAATGTCCACGTTACCCAGTAGAGTTGAGGGGCCGCTGTCTCCTGGGACCTGCCCATGAGTAAGGCCCCTGATGTCCAAAATCCATAGACAGGTTGGTTACATCACTGGATGTAAGATCTCCAAGGGCCAGGCAGAACCGTAAGCGGGTACAGAACACCGGTTTTGAGGTGAGGGGTCAGGGAGACTGGCAAACGAGACGCTATGCTTGAGCCACATCATACCCACTCAATTCCATGTTCACACGGATGGCTTCCAGTCAGCCACAGTAGAATTTATACCACAAAAAAATGAACAAACGATAATCCTTTGAAAACAAAAAAACTGGGGGGGGGGGACCCAGTTGACACTGTCTTTGGCCACAGGAGAGACTCAGCTCTGGAGATCTTAGAAGTCCTGCATACTCTCATCTCATCCTCTAGCATGCGTACAGTGACCCTTCACGATAGGCATACCCAGCATATGCTGCTCACTGCCAGAGCAGATAACCTAAATGTGGTGTGGGTTCCTGTAGTCTCCCTGCGCTGGTCACTTCAGGGCCATCAGTGCACAGGCAGGAATGCTGGGACTGTAGTCCCGGACTTTGGCAGCTCAGCCAATATTCCAGGTCACTGTGTCCATGGCCGCCATCATCTGCTGTTTTTTGCTGCCCCTGAGACGAGGCTGTCCCTGGGTACAAAGATCAGAGATGATGGGATCAACATAGGGTTGCCCCCATTCTTGGGTTTTCCAAGAGTGAAAGATCCATATGTTTATGTGAAGCCTTTTGATTCTATAAATGTTGCAAACTTCTGAACAAAGTTTGCAAGTATATATGTGACCTCTCTATGTGGGCAACACGGAAGGGCTGCTTGGGGTTAGAGGGGAGTCCAGCAGAGCCAGTGGAGCTCAGGCCTGAAAGCAAAGTGGGGCAGACACTCATTATCAGAACGCAATCCCTTTTATCCTGAATGGTCATCTGTTTGGAGACCTTGTAAAATGAAGTCTTCTGGCAAAGAATCCTGATTCGGAGAAATGCCCTGACCTGAACCTGACTCTGCTCTCCCCAACAGGGCTCTGTGCAAGGCAGCTGGCCTGCTGTGCGTGCGTGCGTGCGTGCATGCGTGTGTGCATACACATGTGCCAGAACAACGAAAACAAACCCCTTGTGGCTCTGAGTGTCTAAACACTGGGGATACTAATGTTCATCTTGACGCTACAGGAAGATTGTCCTGTGAACCAGCCACAGAAGGAGGCAGTGTCGAGTGAGAGTCAGAAGCAGGCCTTCGATCATTTGAGCCCCAGATCCATTTAGTGCCCGAAGCCAAATGCCAAGTGGACTTCTGGGTTCCATTAACCAAAATAGGCCAAGGCAATTTGATAGGGAAAAAGATAATCTTCTCAACCAATAGTGCTATAACAACTGCAGAGCCAGATGGAACAGCAAACCTCTAGGCTCACCCAAGTCATATGCAAAAGTCAACTCAAAGTTCATCACAGACACAAGCAATAAAACTTCCAGAAGAAAGCACACTGACCCTGGATTTGGTGGATTTCTGAAACATAACAAAAAACATGACAAGAAAAAAGATAAATCAATTGGACTGGATCAAAATTTTCAATTTTTGCTTTTCAGTAGTCACATCAGGGGCACCTGGCTGGCTTAGTTGGAAGAGCATGCAACTCTTGATCTCAAGGTTGTGAGTTCAAGCCCCAAGTTGGGTGTAGAGATTACTTAAATAAATAAAAACTTAAAAAGATTAAGAGGCTTCGGGAAGCCTGGGTGGCTCAGCCCGTTGGGTCTCTGCCTTTGGCTAGGGTGGTAATCTTGGGGTCCTGGGATCGCCGCCACCCCCCCGCCCGCCCCACCCGCATCGGGCTCTCTGCTAAGCAGAGAGCCTGCTTCCTTTCCTCTCTCTCTCTCTGCCTCTCTGCCTACTTGTGATCTCTGTCTGTCAAATAAATAAACAAAATCTTAAAAAAAAAAAAAAAGATTAAGAAGCTTCAATAGGCACATCAACAAAATGAAAATGCAATCCACACACTGGGAAAACTATCTGCAAAACAAATTCTGACAAAGGACCTGATCGAGAACATATGAAGAATTCATACAACCTAATAGGACAACCCAGTTTTGCTTTTTTTAAAGATTTTATTTATTTACTTGACAAAGAGAGAGACCACAAGTAGGCAGAGAGGCTGGCAGAGAGAGAGGGAGAAGCAGGCTCCCCGCTGATCAGAGAGCCCGGTGCGGGGCTCAATCCCAGGACCCTGAGATCACGACCCGAGCCGAAGGCAGAGGCTTAACCCACTGAGCCACCCGGGCACCCCAAGACAACCCAGTTTTTAAAAATGGGCAAAAATTACTCGAACACTCACTTCACTAAAGAAGATATATGAATAGCAAATAAGCACATGCCTTCTATATAAAACATGTTACTATTTTTTTTAAGATCTTATTTTTAAGTAACCTGTATACCTAACCTGGAGCTTGAACTTCAAACCTCGAGGTCAAGAGTCTCATGCTCTACAGACTGAGCCAGCCAGGTGCCCCTAAAATGTGTTTTTATTAACGGTTCACAACACTCCCACAGGTATTCTAGAGATGGTGAGGTGGCCAAGAGCACAGAGTCTGGAGCTACACGTTGTACATTTACGTACCCGCTAATAATGAGTTGTATGCTCTCACACAAGTTACCACGTCTCTGTGCTTCAGTTTGCCCTGTATTTAACTGATACTTTGAATGGCTGTGGCAGATGTGAAGGTCTGCAGGTACAGAGAAACTCTGTACACCATCACCCCACCCAGACTCAGTCATCAAAGCAGTCATGGCTGCCCCACAGATATGTCTCCACGTCACTCCACGTTGCCAGTCTCCAATCCCTATTCCTCATACCCAGTGATTATCACTTAATACACCCACCTGGTTCTTAGATGAACACAGGAGGTAACCCCACCTAAGAGAGTCTGGTGTCTAGAGGGCATGTCTTTTTAGCCCAGGGGGAGTGCTTCTTGTCATTGCCGCAGGGGGTATGCCATGAAACATCCTCTCGAACAAGAGATCAGCAGCTCCTTTTGCATCGCTGTCAGGCTTTTGGACTCACTTCTCCCTTCACCAGGTGAGCTCTTAGTATCTGACTTAAAAGATTGAGAGCCTAGAATCTTTCAGCCTTTCCCAGGAGGGCACGGGATAGAAATGCAAATTAGGATATACACTGGAAAGGAAGAAGTTAAAGTGTCTTTTTTTTTTTTTTTT